AAAAAAAAAAAAACAGAAAAAAATTAGTTTTTTAAAAGTACCACTTTTCGCCGGTTTTTGACTGGTTGGTATCTATTTACTATCGGACTAGTTTGTTTTTGGCGATAAAGGCCTAGTACGGAACTAGAAATCTGGTTTTACGCCAGTTAAAGCCATTCGTAACAGTTCTGTTAAATGTTGAATCGTCAATAGGTACGTTCGTTTAAATCTCCAGTAAAATATGTCCAACAGCAAAATTCCGGCGATATGTCATCTGTTCTCTAACAAGAGAAAAATAACCAAGAGAGTACGCGAGCAGAAAATTTGCTGAGACGTGCAAGTTAGACGAACAGCTGATAGAAATTTTGTTTACATCCAAAAGTATAAAATTGAAAACGTAAGAAAACAAATGCTGAAGTCTTATCCGGACACAGTTCACTGTTTTATTTACTTCTTACAAGTTTAATTAGTCGTATTTTATTTACTATTTATTTTGCGCAAATTCCAACCAGCTGTTTTCTTGTTGGCAAATTGCAGTTGGAAAAAATTTTTCCAGCAGAAACCAGAAGCTTTCTCTCAAAATGAAATGTCATTTTACTCTCTCAATTTACCCTACTTTGCAAGTTTTTGCGTACGCGAACACAAAAAGCTGATGGTTTTTATAACTTTCAATAACTATCAGGTACGCGAATGCAACTAATTGTGAACGGTATTTTGACTTTACGAATTTCCTTGTAGAGTTCAGACTCATAGTTATACGTCGTACCAAAAACAGGAAATGTACGGGACGCAGCTGTTTTCAAAAGCGGTTATTTTAAATCTGGTACTTATTGCCGGAATACCAGCAATAGCAAAGCTTTATGTTGCATTTCCAGTGCCTTATCTTCTTTTCATTCCAAAAACTCCAACTCTTCTTCGCTTTTCTTAAAAAGGATATTGTAAATTCATCCTCAATTATGATACATAAAAAAGGGTTTATGAAGTATGCAAGCGTACATTTATATAATTTCAAATCGGCAAATCTTTTTCCAAAATCCGCTTTTAAATCATGTGCAATATTTTTTCTAGCCATGGAAAATTATTAAAAAAATTTTCTTTTTATGAGATCATAAAAAAGACGTAAGTTTAGCTTCAAAACTTAAATTAATTTGCGACAAATAAAAAACACTTTTATTCTCTCCTTGTAGAGACAAATTCAAGTTTTGCAAATGTTCTATCACATCGGTAAAGAACATTAAGTGAGAATTTCCATTCTCCAATTGCGGGTAATATTCCGATCTTAATTTGCATATGTGTATATACATACACATAAGAGCCAAAATATTCTAGGCAAAGAGAAAGTAAAAAGAGCCGCACTTTGCTAAGCAAAGAGCCGCATTTGGCCCAAAGAGCCGCGTTTGCCCACCGTTGATATATAGTATTGAACTATTTTTTCAGTATGCGTATTATATACTGTTGGAAAAATATAGTATGCAAAAAATACTATATTTCTTAAATAATAAATATATATAACAATATTATATATGTATAATATATAAATATTTACTTATTTATTTGTTGAATTAAAATTATAATAAATTATAAATTATATAGCACTCTTCAGGAGAATTCCAATAATGATACCCAATTGTTTATTTTACATATTTTAAAACTACCGATTTTTATGGGTCCCCATTGCATTTTTTAGGGTTTTTAGAGGACCTAAAAAAAGTTAATATTAAAAATTGGTTACAAATTTGGGTATTGTTATTGGAAGTCTCCTGAAGAGAAAACAAGTTTCCCATCGAAAAATAGTAATTTTCAAGAAGTCTATACCATTTCCACGAAAAATTCATTTTTCCCCATATAAAATACCTGGAAAGATTTTAGCGCTTTGGGCGTCTTCTAAATATTTCTTGATTTCTAAAAATAAAACAACGGGGGTATAATTTTTGCCGTACAGAACACTCATAGGGGTGAGAGCATTAAAATTCCGACAAAATTATTTTTTACCACCCTTGTATACATACTAGGGATGCCAATCCCCGGTGTTTTTGACGTCCCGGAAATCCCGGGATTTGCTTGCATTAATCCCGGGATCCCGAAAAATTTTAAATATCGAATTGATAGTAAGAATTTGTTTATGAATTTTGAAGTAAGATTTTTGTAAAATGCCGTTTTGACTGCAATTCACAAAAAGCTTGAAACTGTACTTTTAAATTGCAGTCTGAGCCTTTTGTGAAGAAGATTTCAACGAATTTACTCATAGCGTCGTAAAGAGTTTTAAAGAAAAGTTAGATAATTTTTTAGATCAATCTACTCAAAACTTCCTGAAATCGAAAAACTTATGATTTATTCGACGTGCTGGTAAAAGAAGTTCATATATTTTGTAATGGAGGAGGTAGGGGTCATTATCTTCAAATGGATTATGTCTACCTTTTGACAGTTCAGCCTAAAAGTGTTGAGGTCGAAATATGTTTTTCATCAGTAGGTTTTGTATGTAAAAACTGTAGGTCAAGCTTAGAAGACTCCGCTTTGAATGTTTTGCTGCTCTTACGAAAACATTTTAAGTGCAATAATAACAACACTGACAGAAAAGGGATGTGTGTTTTCAATCAGACCCACCTACCAACATGTATTTCGACCCGCTGAATCCGATTCTGAGATCCGTTTGACTCGTACACCCTCAAAAAAAATGGCAACAAATTCTCCGTTCGCAATTTCTTTATAGAGTAGAATAAACATGTTTAGAGAAATTGTTTTTGTAAATTTCTGTTATGTTTATTTTTTGTTTATCGTTACTTTCAAAAGTACCTGGTATTTACATTGTTGTTTGTGATGTACACGTTCCTCAATCACATGGTCTTTTAAATACAATTAAGAAAATGTTTTAATTTAAAATTTGTCTGATTTAATAAATATCGTTAGCGTAGAGTGCAAAGTTGCTCAGTCTCAATTTAAAAGTTATACAGGAGAGGAAAACACTTCTTATAACCATTTTCTTCAAGTATTTCGCAAAACTTTGAATACAACATTTTGCCTGTTTAAAGCAAAGTAAAACTCCATACCAATCAGAGGGATTCAATCTTTATTAAAAGATTTCGAACTATTTTGGGCTTATTGAATTTTCGGAGCTTTTTTTAGCCTTAGAAAATTTTCCTTTCATTGAATATAAACGAAAAAACATAAAACAGGGACCTTTACCCTTTTCGAAACGATGCAGTTACAATTTATCTAGCAACCTATATCAAAATATGATTTTTCATTAGAAGTGAAGTTAGCAACTTTTCACTCTAAGCTAGCGATATATGAGTTTTACAATCAGTTTATCGTAAATTTTAAATAGTTTTATTTCATGGTACGTTTAAATGCTTTCAGATATTGAATTTTTACTCATATTCATAAAATCTAGGACTCAATTTGAATCCCAGGATAAATACCAGGATCCCGGGACTACCTAAAAAATATCCCGAAATCCCGGGATCACAATTTTCCTTAAATTTTGGCATCCGTAATACATACATATGGCAGTATACCGGTGTTTCATTTTCGCGTAAATACTGTTTTCATATGTCAGAGGAAAACGACAGTATTAAGTATAACCGTCTTAATTCATAATACTTTAGCTGTTCACCCATTTTTTACTTTGACTTCAATTTGAAATTGTTTTCAGTATTAATCCATCACAGTGTGCTTACAGTAACAATTTAGTAAAATTACGTTTAGTTATGACATTATGGATCAAAGCTCAGATTTGAGGGTGTAATTTAAATTTCGAGTATGCCATGTACATAAAACAGTTTTCGTAATACATTCCATGCAGTAAAATTTAAAGACAGTCTGGTAAAGCGCTAGTTCCGAACTATATACTTATTTTAGTACATTTAGGTGCAAGTGTACAAATTCTCACTTCTCGTACAATATGAAAGTAGCTCAGCGCGAAGACCTCCGACTCAAGCATCGTTGGTCGCGAGTTCAAATCGCAGTGGAGGCAGTTGTGACCCTGCAGGAAATGTGTCTAGCTATAAGCTAGCTTTAAATTGATTAGGAAGAAGCTAAGAGTCTCTATTATCTGTTTATTTTCTCTGACGAAAGCTAACTATATTTTTATGGCGATGGCCGCGAAATAGTCAAGGGTAGTTATCTCTGCATTAGAAGAAGTCAAGGGTGGTTACCCCTGCATTTAATGTAACTAACTTGTAACTAACTACTTTTGGACATAAAATAACAATAGGAAAAACAAAATATTTTTATTTATTTTTATTTTTTTATATATTTTTTTTATTTATTTTATTTATTTTATTACATGTCATATTTCTTTACATATTCTGCTGTAGGTGGTCCCATATTCGAACTCCGTCAGACATAACTTAAAAATGATAATATGAAATTTCGATCTTCCTTTTATTTGTCCTCAATTCGAAAAAGTAGTTGCGAAGTGCAGGATATTTAAATAGAAACATGTTTAAAGAAAACAATCTCCTACACTACTTGTCAACTAGTTTCAANTGTTGCTTCTTTGCAAATTTACATGGAAACAGTGTAGCTTTGGTGTGAAATAAAAGTATAAGCTTTTGTGCAATATGTTTATTTGTATATGCATATGAAGCATATTTAACTGATGAAAACATAAGCATTGGATGTTTACATCAATCTGATAGTAGCCTTATTTTAATTTTGAGTCATTTTGCAGTTTTTATACGGCTAAATAGCATATAAATTACGTAATTCACGTATATATATCAATATTACGTTCAACATTTCGTTTAAAATGCCAGACTTCCTGCAAATACATTAGAATTTACGAAAGGAATTTCACTACTAATTGCCTACTTTGAGTACTTTTCTACTACCATTTTCGCAACAAGGGATTGCATTCTTGCCCTGTCCTCTGTCCTTCGTAAATGCAACCTTTTGTAAGGGAGTGTCAAACCGCAGCTGTCAATAATTATCTAACCTTGTATTATTGAATCATGCAAGAAATCTAACTACAAGTGGGTTATTTTTTTATCAGTTGATAATTTTTTTCTGCATGAATTGATTTTTTTTTTAATATGTAACAAACATGGAATCTGAAAAGAAAGGAAAAAACGGAAAAAATATCAAAAATTTAATCTTAAAAACCGTTTTCTTATAAAATAAAACTATCCAAATCGGAACCGATAAAAAACTAGTTGCAAAGTAATGCACTGGGCGACAATTGCCACCGCCAATGACATCGCCGTGACAGTTGAAAGCATTGCTTGGGTATTGAGATAGAACTCGTACTGTCAGCAAGAGGTCTAGTTCTATGCTAGTAAGATTTTCTGCAGGGTTTTATGCGTACGTATGTATATGTTAGAATTTATGCGTATGAACATGATTCTTACCTTTTCTCGATCTTTGGTAAGTTCATCATCTTTAATTTTGTCCTGATTAATTTTTTCTTCGATTTTACGTTCTTTGAGTGTTTTCAAAAGCTTCCATTTGCTACTTCCGAGTACAGATGCGTTGCCGTTAGTTACCTGAGTGCCACTACTCTCAATACTAGAATCATGACTTATGAGTCGTGATGGTGGTTTCGATGGCTCTATTTGAGTTTCTGTTTCTATTTCTTTTCCCGCCTGGAGTAGAGGCGACTGCGTACTGTCTGTAGCTTCAACCGAAATATGATTAGCATGTTTATGAGCGGAATGAGCATCACTACTTTGTGAAGCATTCATAATTTCTTGAACTTCTCCATTGACTATTTCCGTTCGTCTATGATTATCTTTGAATGCTTGGTAGTTAGGTGCAGTCTTGTATGTTAGCTGGTCGCCCTCCAATTCCTCACTTAGTTCAGCTGGCGTATCTGGACCAAGTGTGGCACCGGATGACATACTCAGATTTTTAAACTCTTCATCATCGATATTTTCATCAATCGCAACTACTTTATCATCAGTTGACGACTGCATAGCTTCGGTTATTTGCAATTCATTTGGCACAATTTCGCCATAGAATTCGGGTTCATGTGGAATTGCTCGTGTCATAGATGCACGCTTGTGCTTGTCACTACTGCTACTTCCACGTATTTGAGCCGGTTTTACCTTCTCTTTATAGCGTTTCATAGCGCTCGCAGCTTCCTCTTCGGATGAATATGAGGAGCTTGCTGAATGATGCAACTCGTGGCTCGCTTCATTATCTAAACAACTGTCGTTCGTACGACGCCTGTCCCGTCGTTTTCTAAAACGTTTCTGAGGCACCGCACGCTCAACACTTGCCACATTCTGTGTCTGCAGTTGAAGCTGACGCTGTTGCCGCCGCTGACATTTCTCGAAATCATGCCGGGCAGCTTCTTCGATGCTCTCCATGGCGTGCAATGGGTTAAATTCATCCAAAGCAACACTGCTGGCAGCATTGACACCCGCGTATTTATCCGCATCAATATCCGAATATTTGCGTTGCAGATCATCGCCATTAGCATCTTGCCACGCACTATGCATATCCGTCACTTTTGTTACTCGTTCGAACGTATTTACGCTTGATTTTGTTGAGCTTCGCCGCTGGAAATGCTGCCGTTTTGGTGGAGCTTTGGTGGCTTCCTCGGACTTGGAATCATCAGTAGCTGGTAGTTGCTTGGCAACATATTTCAATTCTCTCAAAACTTCAAACATAAGTTGTTTTACACTTTCATCTGGCTCATATTTGTCAGACAACAACTCGCTTTCACCATCTTCATACTTTCTGCCGTCGCAATTGTAATATCCAGCTGTGCTCTTTAGCGCTAGCTGATCGATTTGTGAGAACAATTGAGAATTGTCGACTGTAGCAGCTGCAGCGGAAGCTTCGGCTTGTACCTCAGCTTTGCGTTGTTGTTCCAACACTTCCAACTGCCGCAATTCATAGCAAAAGTATTCATCGTCTGTATCAATGCTGTCTTCGGTGCTTTGCCGACGTGACGACGATAAGGTGCGGTATGAATGTTGGCTACGGTTATCGTCATCTTCGTGTAATCCCCCTGCTGGTACGTCGAGCGATTGTTGTGTTAGAATATTTCGTTGACCTTGCCCATTTAGCGTGTACTCCATGCCAGGGATTGTGCTCATACTAGCCAGATCGGAATTATTGTTCAATTTTGTTATTAGCAACTGGGGTGCTTCATTGCCGACTGTCGACGATGAGCAACCTGCTTGTATTTCTGGCTGCATGATGTCACCTCTATCGCTGTAATCGAATTCCTCGTCATCTACGAAAACGGAGGCACTTTTATGCAGCTGAGTTTTTGCTAAAGGGCAGGAGCCGGGTATTGATTCTTCAGGTGTAGCAGGTGTGAAAAGAGCATCGTTTGTTGGTTGGTGTTGGTATTGATGCTGGCGTCTAATGTCGCTCATAACCGGAAACAGGCTCCCTTTATTATTGGTAATTATTTGTTCCGTTTTTTCGTCCGCTACTTTTGGTGGTGACTGTGAGACACTGCCTTCTTTTTCTACGCCAGTTTTTGGCACTTCTGTGTGACTTAATTTGCATATTTGAGGGAACATACTCATTGCTATTGCATCGATATCTTCTTCAATTTCATTTCCTTGATAGTCATTTGTCCCATAGTGTTGATCATTCGTGTCACAGAATTCGTCAACTTCTCCATAAGAAGGCACGTCTTCTTCATAGTCATCTTCTTCGTCCTGTTCTCTGGACTCCTCTTCTTGTTTAGTTAGTTTGGTATCCGTTTGTTGGTTTGGTTGTTGTTGCTGTTTCTGGTGCAGTATCTTCATGTGCTGTGTATCGTGTTTCTGAAGCTGCAACTTTTGAGCCTCGAATGCGTTAACATCATAATCATCAAAAGGCTTGCCATCGGACACAACCGCATTTAATTCTCCAGTATCACTCACTATTGAGTCTTCGTTGTCGGAAGATGTGAAACTGGGCAAATCTGCTTCGGTATCCGAGACACTACCCACTATCGCCGTCGCCATTGTACCACCACCACCACTACTCCCTGGCACAAAGCTGTGCCGCCGGTATGTTTTGGCTTTATGCATGAAATTATTCACGGTCACCGAAAACTTAGAGCGAGTCTTGTGACCCTTGCCGGCTATTATCTTCTTAATGCTGGTACCGCTGGCTAAACCGGTGGCAGCAGTTGCGGATGATGTAGATGTGCTGGCAACCGTGCGAGTGCCCGGATGCGTAGCACGCTGCACCAGCTGCAAAGGCAATTTGTGAAGACGCTTTGAAAAGTCGAAGCTGCCCCCCAAATGCTTTATTCCACGCTGCTGCCTTTTGGCTGACGACGTCGGTGCCGGGCCCGTCATGTTATACATCATGGACTCTGACACATCCCTGCCATTAGGCTCGGTGTGGGAATCGGAAACACTGGGTGTGATGTAACCAGCAACAGAGGGGTAAGAGCCAGCCTGGCCACGAGATTGAATTTTACTGCCGCACGCGTCATTCTCATATCCAGTGGGTAATGACTGCGAACGGCCGTATCTTGATGACCGTTTCAATTTGAAATTTTCCGGTAAGAAATGAGTGAGCTTATTCCAAACCTTAGGGTGCTTATGGAGTATCGGCTGCCCACCAGCAACAGCGTTGTTCACACTGCCACTCAAAGTAGGCATACCGCCAGCCAACCCAACTGCGCCAGAAGACGCCGAGGACAAAGTCATGTTTTGGGAAGTCGCACCATCACGCGCTACAACGCCACCAAAATGAGAGGTATTTGAATCTAGCAGAACAGATGAATCTGAGGCGATAAGATGATGTGAATTGGAAGGCAGTTGTTGTAGTACATAAGCCCGACTGTCGAGCAAACTATTTCTTTCCTGCGTCTGCTGATTGCACAATTCGTAGGTGGCTGGTGTTGTTCGTCGTTGTGTCTGTAACAAATGCTGCTGCTGTTGTTGTGGTGTCTTTCGTGGCGGTTCACTTGGCGATGACGACGCATCAGCATAACCAACGCCAGTTACACATCTGTAAGATTGGTGACGCTGCTGCTGTTGATTTTGAAATCGCCGATAGTCAAAGTTGTTCTTGCCCATATAATCCAAGTTTTTGCTGCTGTTATAATCGGCAATGCCATTAGAAGTTGGATAGTATACTAGACGATCTGTGAGATATCGCCTACGTGTTTGAGTCTCACGCAATTCACCTTTATCACTGGAAGTATCTTCGTGGGAATCGATAAAAACATCCCTCTCACCTTTAGAAGACTCTGCATGAACGGGTGTGCGCAAGAGATCCGGAATGCGGTGGTTTTGTTCGACGAATCCGCTAGCAGTTGTAGCAAGGTTCTGCTGATTTTGTGGTTGTTGCTGCTGCTGTTGCTGATCCCAGGCAAGCATTTCATCCACAGTTCGAATATTCTCATCCAAGGCATCATTTTTCAATATATTGAAAATTGACTTGTGCTCGTATACCGAACAAATGGGCATGTTCTTTGATAGTTCCCGTATGTAGTTCAGATTCTCTTCGCTAAACATGTAGTCTTTTTCTGTTGGTTGTAGAGCTTTATGTTGTTGTTTGTGCGATTGAGATTGTGGCTTTTGGTGGGGAATTTGATGTTGCACCTGTGTTGGTAGCTGCATTGTTTTATCGTGCGTGTTTGAAAACGTAGCAATAGTTGAGCTGATTATTGTTGGTATGACGGAACAAGCTGTGGTTATGGTGACGGCTCGTGTTGTAGTCACCAATTCAGAGTCAGCACTACCAATATTTAAAAGCATATCATTGACATCATGACCCACATCAAGTCTGCCACTGGGATCTCCCATTAAGCCATTACTATCCAAGTTTAATAAGTGGCAGTTGTTCGAGGGCACCGCTTCAGCCATTAGGAGCTGCATGCCTATATTAATGCCTTGATACTTGCTAAGGAAGGGATTACATATATCACCACTACTAGCAACACTACTGCTTCCTGCAGCGCACACAGGAGAATTGGGTGATTTTTCCCAGCTAGATAAGCCGCTCATAGACGAAAGCCCAGAATCAGATTTTGTCGGTTTTGGCGAGCCGCCGGCATGTTGAAGCTGCTGATGAGCGCCACTATACGCTGCTGCATGCGCTTGCTGGTGAAAAGGATTCAAGGATCGCATTGATGGTATTGAATCGTCAACAACGGCGTTATCATTTTCACTAAATTCATTCGACACTTCAGGATGGGCATCATTCGGTGCTGGTGGTGGGGGACTTTGGGAACCGCCCACACCGGCTAAGAGAATACCGTCAATGTCCACAGCCAAAATGTCTTGATATGCATTTGTTTTGTGGTGTTGATCGGGATTTTGCAAATGTAGCAAGAAGAGCATGCTGTTATGTCGCTCTAAGCTGCGCTTCAGCGATTTAATGTACTCATCGTTGTTGTAAAGATTTGTCGCAGAGGTCGCCCGACCGAACGGCTGCGATATACAGCTTTCACTTGTCCTGTTTCTAGTCGTGCCTGTGGATGTTTGTAAAAGCATGCGCTCCAACTCTATGTCCATGTCGGCCAAATAGTTGTCCGTACACAAGAAGTTGGAATATGACTGTCGTAGCTCAATGCCGGTGCAGCTAACGATGTCAGCACTGCTGCCACTCGTGCTAGCGGCGGGGTCATGCAACTTTTTAAGGCGCATTTTATGCTCCTGTGTTTCTAGTATTTTCAGCTGCTCATCTAAATTGGAATTATTGCGTAATAAGTGCGCACTATAGTCGAAATGTGCTTTATTACTGGCACTGTTTTTAATATTAATGTGCTGTTCAAGCGAGGATTTATTTTCCACAAGTTTATCTTTTTTATCGTTTGTGTGCGTAAAGTCCGGCACGCATTCCAGTGATGCTTTGTGATGCTTAAAGGCTCCTTTTTTAGATTTTCCATTTTTTTTCGACGATTTAGCTGTTGACGTCGTGGTAAACGCAGTCTCTTTGTTGTCGCCAGAGACTTCCCCTGCTGCTTTCATCAAGGTTAACTCAGCGTCAGCCAGGTACTTTCGCTTGTAGTCATCGAACGAATTCCCAACCAACTTTTTCAGCGTATCAATATTCCTTGCCAATTTATTCATCACTGTCTCGAATTTGCGCTGCTTGTCGTTGCCTAGTGCCCGCATTTCCTCAGCCATTGTAACGGGATTTAGAAGCAGGAGCAGAAGGTTTTTATTGAATTTATGGATCTTTTCGAAAAAAGCGGCCTCCTTTTTCACTAACTGCCGCAATTTAAGTATTTGTGCACCGTTCAGTACTTGCAAGTCTTGAATTTTGTTTATCTCCATGAGCAGTATCTCGCCTGTACTATCGAGAAGCACAGTTTTATCCTCATTTAATTGCGAAAAGAAGTGGTCTTGACCGTGAAATTGTGTGCCAATACCGCTGTTCTCTTCCTCCGACGACGAAGCGGTTGAGCGTCGATCGCCTATATAAGGACCAGTTGTTATATTGATACTGCTGAAGAGATCGACAGATGTGCAAGCGCATGTTTGCGTTTTCCCATTATCCCCTGCTGATTTTGCGGCCTCTGCCAATGCACTCTTCAAGTTGTTCAACATTTCCATTTCATCTTTATGATGTTTTTTTTTCTTTTGCTTCTTGCTATCCTTCATCTTTTTCGCAACTGTTGACGTTGTTGTTGACACTAAGTTTGTAGTTGTCGTTGCTGCAGCCACGGAAGACATATTTTCCGATAGTTCATCGCGTGGACGCACAAGCACCTCTGGCGACTCTTCATTATCTTCGCGTATCATACCCAGCGCGGAGTTCGTGCACGTACCCAAGCCGCCTAGTATGTGTTCGTGTGTAGCCTCGGATTGCTGCAGTAGCCGCTCCACATTTGAGATTTCAGTTGTCAGATTATTATCACGATACGCCTCGTTAAGTTTTTTGTAAAATTCTTCGTTCATTTCATTGTTGTGGCCAATGTTTCCAGCCGCCTCCTCGCATGTCCCTCCCGTATCCTCTATGGCCACATCAATTTGCCCGCCCTCGCCATGTTTAGAGGCCGCTTTCCGAAAAAACTTCACCTGCTCAACAAAATCAATCAAAGGCAAATCAATATCGGTCACATTTCCAGTTGATATGCCTCCAACACTCCCTTCGGCGGGTAAATCGCTAAATAGTTGCGGTCTTATGTGTGCCAGTGAGTGTGCCTTTTTCAGTGAGCTATCTGTCGCGATTGTCGAGCCGAAAACCTCTCCATACGCAAAAGGTAAGCTCTGCATGCTACCGCTCACCTTGTACTGCTGCAGACGATCGATTTTCTCATCGCCTCCACCGCCGGATGAAAGCTTATCCAGTAACTGACGGCTATTCAAGAACTGCGGCAGCAGTTGGCCTTTAGCGTCGTTTTCTTGCATTTTCTGCTGCTCGTAAATAAGTATATCTGAGTCCGAATACAGTTTGTGTCGTGACATTGTTGCTGCGGTAATTGCAGCAGCTTCTTCTTGGTGCTTCCTCTGCTCGACATGGCCCAGAGTTGAAAGCGATCCACTAAGTCCGTCATGGTGCGCAAGCTGCGACAGTGCTGTGTTTGCGTCGTCGCCCACTTCAAAGCGGCCAGAGTGTTGCAAATTTTCCTGTTCGCCAAGTGGGTACATCATATACGCGGGTTTTGTTTCTCCGAAATGGCCGCTGTATATTAGGCTCGTTTGCTGTTGCAGCAACTTGTCCAGTGCGTCCAACTCACTATCCATGCGTACAGCTTCCAAAGCATCTAAGGTGTCATTTTTTAGTTCCTGCAATAGATTACTGTATTGCTTCGAAGTGCCTTCCATGTCTATATCTTGCAGCAGAGCAGCAGCAGAGTTGTTCAGTAGAATGGCCTGCTGCTCGGCTTCAACTAAATTTGACATCAACAACTGTTCATCGCGCAAGAGGTAGTCAAAAGGTGAGCGACGCTGTTCGGCAACCACATCGCTGTCCATAAAGCCTAAATGTGACTCACACTCGGCAATCAGCTGCTGGCTTTGATTGAGTTGTAGCTGCTGTTTACGCTGATGTTCTTGCTTCAGTGCGATCAAGCCCATTAAATTACTAACAACCGATTGCTGCTCAACCGATATCTTCTCGAGTTTCTCCAATCGCGCCCAAATTTTACCATACTCGCCGGAGAGCAAATCGAGAGAACGCCAAGCAAATTTCAATTCAGTCTCCAAGAGACTAATGCGCGTGGCTATTTTCTCCATGTAATCGGATATTATGTAGTCGGAGTGCTGTTGTGAATTGTATAGCTGACAGAGTTGCTGTTCGCTGGTGATGGAAACCAAGCTACCTACATGGGGGCCAGCAGCAGTGGTGCTGCCGTTCATTTCAGCCAAAAGATTGGCATCAATACTGCAAGCGCTTACGTCACTTCCGTTGCCTATGCCATCGGGCTCATCAAGATTTCTCACGTTGTGAAGTTTATTTTCGTGCAAGGTGTTGGCATCACAGCTACCGTTGTTGTAATTGCTGTCGTTAATGTTGTTGAAATGACTTGGTAATTTCTTTTTATGATTGTAACTATAGCCATTATTGCTATTGATTGCATTGATACTGTTTCGTTGTTGTTGCTGTGTTTTATTTACTGAAAATACCTTCTGCATGGGATGGCAACTTTGCTCCTGCCGCTGCTTTTGTTGCAACTGCTGTTGTTGTTTATGTTGACTTGGTGGCATTTTAGCGGTGAGTTCTGCAAACTGTTGGTTTGAGTGTTTCAATGTCTCTTGAGAGACCATATTTCCATATTTAACTGATTGCTCTGATAGCAGTTGCAGCTGTAGTAGGTCTGACATATTCCTTGAATCCTGGCCATTAGATGATGTCGTAACAGTAATTTCTGTCGACATTCGATCTGTCTCTTGGTGCGCCTGTTGCTGCTGCTGTTGCTCTTGATAAGGCTTGCTCGTTAGGTATTTTTGTTGTTTTTGCTGATGTTTGGGGGAACTTCTTGCTACAGTGCCATACTGATGCATCTCTGTATCCTTTTGGTGCTCTTGCTGCAACTGTTGATCCTGTTCTTGTCTCTGTGGCTTCAACTGACTGTGGTACGGACTGTCATTGCCATCGATGTTCGTAGCACCAAGCATATATTTATGTAGCGGTTTTGGAGAGGCAGTCGTTAACGGCATGGCGGTAACTTTTTTGATTTATTTTTATTATTTTTCGATACTTATCTAAGTTAAATTCACAGAGATTAGTTGGATTGTCAATACTGAACTTTTTATCTATGGTTAAGTCAATACCCTTCAAATACAATAATATTTCGTAACTGTTCACGGTAATTTTAGACCACTAAAACTTGAGCTGCCATGTCGCCAAAACAAGCTGTATATATCGTACAGATGTATACCCCACTTCACTTAAATCGGCAAGTTTATTTCCTTCAAGAACCGACATGCAAGCATCGGATGGGCTTCGTTTTAATATCATTTTCAAGAGTAACCAATTAAAAAAAATCTTAAAAAAGGCACGATGCAAAATTTTAATTTTTTGTAGACTTTTGTTAAAGAACAAAAAAATCTTTTCTGATTCACTTGAATACGTACCGTACATAAGTTAATAAAATTGTTGTTTCAATGGGCCGAAAAAGTGCTCTTGAACTAAAATTACTGGATCTATGACTTTGTGTGCGAGCTTCCTCGTGTAAAATATAATAAAGTGTATTATTATTTGGAGTGCAATCACTCAATCCAATAAAGCTAAGTAAAAGTTATTATTATTGTGTTTTACATTGTTTTGAAGCAATTTAAATAAATTCCAATTATATACAAGTAATCTTGCCGACTCATCAGTTGCTATCACTGTTGTTGTGAAATAGTAAATCTTGTGGAACTGCATGTTTGTTTTTGTTTTTCCTTGTTTCTTTTGCTCTTTTTGTTTACTTGTTTTAGTAATTCTTGTCACAACTGTTTGCGTTGTGTTTACTGGGTGTCGTAATACAGTGATTTTCAAACTGTTCGCTACTTTCATTTAAAGCTAAGTACATCAGCTGATTTTAACTAACCTCCTAAACTGTTTAAGTATGTATTTTGTTTGCCTTTTTATTACTATAAGTATTATTAATTGTTCACTACGAAGTGCAACCTTGATAATTGCCAAGTTAAAAGCGAATCTGAACGCTTCTTATCGTGCTAGTTCTGTGATGGTATTTGCCATTTATGGCAAAGGTGTTCGCTGCTTAAAGCGCAGGTCAACCCAAGTTGATTTCTTTAAGTTGTCTAGGCAAACCAGAGGTAGGGAGAGAGTTGTCGGCGCTAACCGAAAAATTTAAGCATTATGAAAATGTGTTAAGGATATTCGTGTGTCAAAACGTAAGCGCCTTCATAGTCCGCCTAATGAAAGGATAGTCCTTCCACATCAGAACAATCTTCCGAATGACTTAATGTAACAAAGTCTGATTCTGCTTCTAATAATAACGAGCCTGACGTATCTTCCCCCGTTGAAGTTGTGCTATCGTCATCTAATCCTCCAAAGCTTACTCTACCCTCAATGAGTAAAGGCTTAGTAGTGCATTCTTTGCACTGCACTGCATAGCATATCATTTTACGTAGAAATCAAAAATCAACGGACTTCTTCAATAATGCTATGCGTTAGGTAACCACTTACACGCTTTAACAGCTTCCTTATGTGACAACTCTTATGCAATGCCAAGTATGCATAACTGAGCCTTAACTCAGTTATTCAACCCCTTCCGCCGGTAATCGAGTCAAATACGAGGAGACTGGTTGTGGTTCCATCCACAGTATATACAGTAATAAACCTTTTTGAGTACTCCTCGGGGGTAAAATCTTATCACGGTTGATAATGAGAAGGAGCATGAATTTTGTTGACTCAGAGTTGCATACAAAATTACTGTGGTATAAAAGGGAGCAACAACCATACCATGGCAGAACGGCAGAGGTAATTTTGTAAACAAATACTTTTCTTATCATTTTAAAGAGATAATTGCTATTTGTTTTCCAATATTCAGATATCCAGCTTGTAGCCAGAGGCAGTGGCATGTGAGGCTCACTAAAATCTACTCATCATATTGGAGCAGCTCCGGGTAATGAACCATTGAATGTGACCACCATACCCAACGCAGTCTCCAAGCAAATGCGTGCCCTGAATTTATACGGTAGCAATTCATAGCAATTGCTATTGTATGTGTGTATGATTCATATTTGTGGCTTTCTATACTTTGATGTTAAGTATGTTTGAGGAGTTCCGCTCAAACTTGGGTGTACTTAATGAGCTTTCAGGGCGGATGTGCTGGCAGGCAATGGAGTCTCTATAACTAAACAAACCTTGTTTTTTTTGGAATAAAGACTTAAATATATTCGGAAACTTGGAGTTTTCCTTGATAAATTCACAAAAGTCACATTTTTTAATAAAAAATACGATGTGACTTCCCAGTTTATAGAAACACAAGCGTTCATTATGTACTTGACTATTGATATTAATCTTAATTAAGCATTGATACTATACTTAACCTACACTTTGCTTATAAATAACACAATTATATATATTTTATCCTCGAAAACACCTTTTTCTAATCATGAGGCGAAATTCCCCACAGTAAGTGTTGCTGTCCGCGTAAAACGAAAACGCTGCACACAACCCAAAAGTACTCCTCGGGGACCGATTGGTGAAAAATTGTGAAAAGGTTTATTACTGTATATACTGTGGTTCCATCAAAGAAGTCTATATTGTCTCCAGATTTTCGAGGGATATATCCGAAGACAATATAAAGTTTTACATCTCGCCCAAAGTTAAAAATATCAACTTAAGTATCAGAAAATTTAACTTTAAATATGAAAGAAATATGTCTTCATTAAAATTGACGTTAATTTATAAACTTTTGACATGCTGCTTAGTAGTTCTTTTTGGCCCTCCGGAGCATTCGTTCGTGAATTCGAGTATAGGCCCAACAAAAATAATAATTTAGCAAACATCCCGCGTCAGAATACTGAATGAAAAGACTGATTACTAAATCTGCTTTAAGTATTTATTATCAAAACGTAAGAGGCTTAAATACTAAATTAACGAACTTATATCTTAATGGATTTGAATGCAATTATAATATAATTTCTTTCATTGAAACTTGGCTCAAACCTCACATTTACAATTCAGAGATTCTGTCAAATAATTATCATATCTACAGAAAAGATTGTGAGGACATAATCGGCGGCGGCGTACTCTCTGCTCTTCAATACCATCTGAAGAAGTAAGTCTTCCGCACATTGAATCTGCAGAATTCAAATGCATTCATGTACAGGTTGGAAGAGTTTACTTATTTAGCTCTATGCTATATTCATCCCCGATCTGACTTATCAGTGTATTCACAACATGTCTCTTTACTGAAATCAGTTCATTTAATGATTAAACCCTCTGATTCAATAATTGTGTTGAGTGACTTTAATTTACCAAATTGAACATCATTGACAATGATATCGTGTCTTTCTCATCTCGTGCGTGCAAAAACGTATTTTTTGAGGGGATGGCTGAGCTCTGCCTAAATCAAATTAACGTACTTCGCAATAAGTTTGGCAAAGTAAGTTGATGATGCATCTAAATCCGCTGTAAATAAGTGTGAACCGCTAGTTTTGCCCGAATATATCTACCACCCTGCTGTTGAGATATCTTACGAAATTATAAACGATGATCGCAATTGCGGTATCCATACATACGAACTAGGGATGTTGCGAATGTTGAATTTTGATAGGATGTTAAGTATTTTTAAACAACAATTAGAATCTAGCATAATGGCGAGATCGTTGTTTCAACAGCGCTTACAAGCCAAACTAGATGAGTCAGGTTTTTCTAAAGCCTTTTAAAAAGAATTCTTCATTCTCATTCCTTTGGCTGTTTCAGAATTTGGGGAATCTGTAACTTCATGAGCGTTTTTCGATTTTAGTTTTTGTAACTAATTTTTAATACTTTCTTCTGCGACTGGTTTGAACAACTTGTGCTTACAGCGAGCTAAATAGGTGGATATGGAAATAAGTTAAATATTATTTTGCACGAATGTAAATTTTGAACAAAATTCTGTTTTAAAAGTCGTGGCTGTCAGCGGAATCGGATCAGAATATTGTTATTTAAAAAAAAACACCCCGTTTTTCTATAAGCATTTGAATCTCAGATAGTTACGTAATTCTTATCTTATTAAAGGTCAGACCTATAATTTTTTAATTATTTATGCACCGATTCTCTTTATAGCCAGACGTTGACCATTTCTTCTGGAAATCCCTATTGAAGGAGCTTACTCTTTGACTTTAAATAGCAAAGAAGGGACAGTTTTACCACAGGAGTTTTTAGCCAAGGATCCAATGTATATTCCTACCAAAAATATATTGCACGGCAAGTAAACAAAATTACTATTCTTTAAATTTTTACTAAAAATAAATTCCCCCAAGATCCCCGTTTGAAATTATTGAAACGAATATATGTAACATCAAAAGCAAATCACGAAAATTTGGTTAAGAATTACAGTGCACACTTTCTTCTTTTGTGTCTAGTAGTTGTTTTAAGATTGGTCCAAAAAATCATAATAAAGAAAGAAACCAATGCAGGTATTTAAAGAAGAGAAAACAAAAAATATTGTTAAAAAGATTATGTTCTATTTGACGTACTTCAAAAGTCAAGCAGAAGTTGGAACTTGACTGCCCATTGATAGCTCGGTTATATAGCTTAAGAAATAATATGTCTAAATATATGTTTATCAATGTTGATAAATATGACATTTGACCAGTTTTGTTACACAAATACTCCCACGACTACAGGAAAAAATACTGGCTGTGTACAATTTGTCATTATGTTTGCTATATATACGTTTTATCGGAGATGTAGTGATATCCGAAATAACTGCTATAACTTCTACCGCTTAAGCATTGTTGTTTTTTCTGCTTTTGAATACATCTGCATACATCGATAGAGGAGTTACATACTTATATAAAAAATCGCATCTAAACAATCAGAGGTATGGAAGATATACTTTATATGACACCAATCTAAGTGATTTTCACCGCTATGTGATCGGTATGTAAACCGGTAACACAATTTATTGGGTTTAGTTTCGTACATAAAGGAGATATATGGCAAAAACTGGTATCTTAACAATCAGTGCTATAGGAGATAAAGCTTATACAGCATAGATTTTGACGATTTTCTCAGTAGACTTTGTATTATTATTTATAAAATATCTTACGAAATTTATCGGTTTTAGCTGTTCAAATAAAGGAGTTTTACAGTAAAATCCCATATCT